ATGATGATGATGGCATGAAAGTGGCAAGGCCTGAATGTAGCAGCTGGATAATGCTAAAGGCATCGAGCCTACGGCATTGTAGGTCGTATCCGTATATTTTTTTTTGCTGAATTACTAGAGTGAATGCTTAAATGCGAAGCATTTCTTAGCGAACTTCGCCAACTTTGAGCGTATCTATCTATCTATCTAGCCACTTACATTTGGTTTCTCTCGTGGTCACCCCCTTAACTTGACGGGAACCAAAATTAGCATGTGAAGGTAAGATGGTTTGACGAATATGATGCGCTCGTCAAGACATGAATAATGTCACAATCCCACCGCGTACGTCCTGAAACACTTCCCGCCAGACAGTGGCACATACCCATGGGCGGGTATGTGCAGCTGGTATGCGGGTATATGCCACAGGTGATTGCCACTTAGTATCTACCCAGGAACGACGAGAACGCACATGGGCAATTTTAACGCGCGTTAATAAGTATCAAAAATTGGTAGTGTCGACCCGACAAATGCAAAGAATAAATGTGAAAGTACCAGCTGGAATCGAACCCAAGCATTCTGCGCGGCAGAGAAGCATTTTACCACAGAGCTATGCCAGGTGTCGGAACTGCTTTTCAAATAGACGCGAATCTTCGTGAAATGTCAATAGTGGTTGCAGAGCTGCCTACCCATTTTGCCTACCCATGTACTATTTTGATACAGCCGTCGCGTCGGGTTAACATTAATTGTGGTTAGCTGCCATGCGCTGAAGTTGATTTATGTGGAAGTGTCCAGGGCTAGAATCCTCGAGAGGATAAGCGCTTCATATCAGCTTTTGGTGTTGCTAATACGAATGTTCCAGTTGGCATCGTTGCAGAAGTGCAAACAACTGGTTCTATAAATATCTGCAACTCTTCAACATATGTATGTGCGTGCAACGTTTGTACATGTATTTAGCGTTATTTCATGACGTGTCAATTATTAAAAAAATTGCAACACGATCACCTTCCCTCCGCGTGCTTCGCATAACGTCGATTCCCAAGTACGTGGGATCTGGCGAATTTTTACTGTGATCGTTTAGCGAGAATGGAAATAATTCATAACATTGATTCACACGGTATCTATTGATTATTGTGACTTATGGATTTGTTCACGGCTATATATCTGACTGTGTTGGTGCCCAATTTGACGTGATCCCGCTTTTACAGATGGAGAAATATTTTGGTACGTGCCCGATAAGTGTGGGTGCTTGCGAATGTGACGCGACATCTTGCTGAAAAGAATTAGTTTGCTGAGACACCAACGCCTCCTTTATTTGTTTTATTGCCAGGGCAAACGCGCGCTTCTCAACGGGAGCCATTGGTCCGCCTTAATTCACGGAGTGGTCATGATGCGGCGCTATATGAGGGGTCGCGCTGCTCGCGTCATACGTGCGTCCGAGTGCTTCCCGCCGAAGATGCGATAGACATGGTCAAATACATGGGTTACGAACGAGAAGTGTCGGAAACCTATTGCCGAAGCACCAACGGCCGCCGATGATTGAAGTGTGACTAGGTGAGGAGGGGACAAACAACAAAAACTAAAAACTCATTAGGATTTTTCTTAAAATAGTTGTAATTTTATAGGTATATTTAAAGTTTACTGTAAACTTACTTTGCAGTGTATCTCACACCTGGCTGAATGGTTGATTGCTTAAATTTTTCGCCAAGTGCCATAAATAGGGGAAGCGTATCTAGGCAATTCGCTATCAGAGCTTGTGTTTAGTTCAGCGTGTTCTCTGGTTCGGCGCATTGCCGGGTGAACGAGGCGTCGCTCACTTTTCCCTGTTGGTTTCGTGCGTACCTTCAGTAGTTCACTTAATTTAGCGGCGAATTTTCCTTGTCATGAGTTACGCGTAACCGAAAGAAGGGACGAGAAAGCAAAAAAAAGGCAGTATCTCGATCCCCAACAGCATAATAGACGGCGCTGTGTCATAGAAGTACATATATACTTCAGTTAAGTGAGAATATTCTAGATGACACTGTACCGCTACTCTCTGATTGGCTGCTGCGCGGGCTGTGCCTGGGTACGCGGAGAACAAGAGGCTCTCTCAGGCTTCTGGACAGTCGCCGTACGTGGCGGATCGTTGGTGAGGCATGGACGAAGCAGAGCGGCGGGTGCCTTGAAGACGCTTGCGCTCGGCTTCCTTGGCTCGCGTCTTGTCGGTGTTACCCACATGCCGTCTGCATTCTCGAACGCCATTGGACGCATGGACGCATGCGTGGATGGATGGACACACGGACGAACGGACGCTTCGCCCCAGTCATCATCACTAACTCCGTGGATATGCTGTGATTTTTTATGGGCTGTTTACTGGTGTGACATTTCAGAGCTTAACTAGCTCATAGAATAGCTCCTGTAACTGCCGACTGCCTTCGCTGGCACACGGCTGGCGTGTCCTGTGACGGTGAACCCGACACTCTAAGCAACTAGACGCTGTACTCTACGGTTGCCAAAGCTATATTTTTAAAGCTATTGTTTCGCTGTAGTGGTTTTCGATGATTGGGCAACGTGAGTTTTTGAACTAATATGCTCGTGAACAGTTGTCTCACAATTGTCTCTGCGAAGTTTCGTGTGCATACTGCAAGTACGTCATTTGGCTGTTTAAACAACTTTGCTTCCTCTATTTTCGATGTTTTCTTACTTTTCTCTCCCACTTGCAATTAGCGAGGCGCAAGCGCAATAATATTGCGTAATAATTACGGCACTTAAAAGGTCAGCATTTAAGAAAAATTTCAATTTTGTGCCAGGTAGGGCAAATTCATGACGTCCCTACCGCTTCCCATAGTGACGTCAAATTTTTATTTTTTGTTTGCTGTTAACTGTTTTCTCCTCACGCAGATGGCGATGGTGGCAACGAGCCGCCGATTACTGAATCCATGGGCATCTTTGAAAGTTACGACACCAGTTTAGATATACTTATAGACGTGTATCCCACTCTCCAATATCGCGCGTCTGCCAGATTTTTTCCTTTGTGCTCCTTCTTTGTGGCTAGAAACAACCCCATTGCCGCATCACAGTGCTCTTAAAGGGGCCCTCCAACACTTTCTGAGCGTAGTCAGAGAAGGCTGCTGATCGGTAGTAGAGGTTCCCGACAACACGCGTGCCAAATAATAAGCGCACCACATGGCCTGGAGTTCACAATAAATTATCGAAGTCAGCTAGAAGTTGCTTTGTATTCTCTCGACAAATCACGCAATAAGCCCAAAAATCACTCGCAGTAAGCCCGTCTATCAGCCATTGGCTGATTGGAGTATGGCGCACTCGGTCGTTACAGAGATCGCCGCAGGAGGCCGTCACTGGTCCACGCGTGCGTGCGTGATCGCACTGAGAAAGCCACGCATTCGAAGAAAAAAAAAAGCGCTCAAGGTCACAAGGCCTGCGTGACGTTTTTTGTTTGCCCCTCCCATCCCTCACTGTTTAGCTTCCAGCGCTTTCGTCGGGACGAGAGAAGCAAGAATGCGATCGCAACGTGTGAAAAATTTTTGCAACTCCGCTCGTAGGGGATGGATTCTTAAAATTTTTGCGGCGTTGGATTTGTGAGGCAATACGCTTTTCTAGTAATTTAATTCCATGGTTACTAAAAAAGAGTTTCAGGGCCCCTTTAAAGTCAGCGCATGCAGCATAGTTACAGTGACGCTTCCCCATTGGTTGCCCGCATAGTGCCACGAACGGTGACATGTACTCTCAACGCACCACATCTCTTACAGAGCCAGTGTGACCGCCAACAATGTTGACTCAAGGAATTCAATGCACCGCCCCACATATCTCGACACGACTGAACGAAAAATTACTTCATATAATTTCCGTCTTGAGGCACTACATACATGACGGGTTCAGTCCCTTAATATAGACGGCTTTCCGCAGCGGCGAACGGGCGCTGCCGTGTTTCAAGACGTGATGCAATGGCCTTCTCCTTCCCACTATTTCACCGTCACCGATGGCCGGCCGATTCGCTCCCACCGCTCCCGAGTTTAAGGCCAGCAAAGCGGGTGCAGCGCATAACCTGCAGGGCAACGTTCGCCACACGCCACATCGTGGCCGCACCGCAGAGGAGAAGGCCGTGGTGCTTCGGTGCGATGGCGCCTTCTAGTTTTGCATAAGAAATAGCTGTGGAAAATTGTATATAGAGAAAGCAGCGACACTTTCCTCCACATCCTCTCCAAAGTGTTCAACCTTCCTCTCTCAAGTGTACAAATCTTATCTATATCCTCTCCCGAACGACTACCGTGTGGGCGCCGGCCCTTCAACCCAGCTCGCCCTGCTTTCCTATCAAGAATGCTATGTCACGCTGATAACTCGCGTGATGCTCGTGGCGGCCAGAGAAACGACAGGTGGGAAAGGAGGGTGGACGGCGCGGTGGCTCAGTTAAAAGAATGGCGCAACTTTCCTAAAAAAATAGCTAGGAATGGGTTCTCTCCCCTGTGACCGCAAAGCACACGTGAGCGCTAGGCGATGCGTGAGATCAGAAAAGGGCAAGAGGAGAGGGTTGTGAACGGCTGAATCGGGAGCATCTGGCTGGCATTGATAAAATGGAGGAGGTGCTGGAGACACAAAGCTGTTTGAAGCCACGAAGACAAATTTTAGGCACATACAGGAACTACCCGTCATTAAATTATTACCCATCACCGTGCTAGTTAAATTTAAACGCAACTACGAGGAAGAAAAACATGCGTGTGTTGCTTCCCCGTCTCAAGCTCGCCACTTTAAACCCCGTATTCTAGAACCTCCCTTCACTCAACGCTTCGCCTTCACTCGAGAAAGCCGATGAGAGCGCCATCTCTAGGCACGGCAACTCACTGCATATCAGCGATAGTCTGCTGCGATTGTTGATTAGCGCAGCGTCATTTTCAGCCGAGTGTTGGAGCAGTGCTCAACTCTGTCAAGCGAAGGGTGAAAGTCGAGTCGAGGAGCGTTTGTGAATACGGGGGTAAATGTCACTGACGTGATGGTGATACGGCCAAGGCGCCCAGCGGGTGACTGACCCTGGTGACGTTGACGATGGAAACGCAGAAAGAGGCGCAGATGACGACCGCTGTGAATACCTCCCGGCGGCAGTGCCAGCGTGAGAAGAACGTCTTGAATTCATCCATGAGACCCGTGATGACGCTCTCCAGGCCACCCATCTGCGACGTCAACACCCCGCCAAGTCACCGCCAGCGGCGTCGAATTGTGCGTAGCGTTCATTCCTTGCAATTAGCCTCGATACATTAAGTCTGCAACCGTAGTGAGGTTAAAGAACAGAGCTGTTTCCTTAAGGAAAAACAAGTACATCAAATATACAATGACAAATAGGTATATACCTCTTCGTCAAACTGAGCTAGACAATGAAGAAAATAACAAATGCCACCTCAAAGAAACGAAGCAACAAGAGAAGGCATGTAGGATGTGAATGGAGCTATACATTTCCTGCTGAGCCGGCGAGAAGCATATCGTGGATAACACTACTGAATAGGTTAGGTTAAGAAGCGAGCAAAAGTAAACCTTGCGAAATCAAAATGTACGAGCTGTCCAAAGAGCGATAGCACGCTGCTTTGATTATAAAACCACTACAGCAAACGGCGCAAGAATCAAGTTAATGTAAAATGTCTAAATTGTTTCAATAACGCCTCTTAATCAGGCATTGTCACATCGCAATTAAAGTGACTTTCCTAGTGCACTTTTGAGCCACTTTGCAGTGTTATACGGTATTAGTGAGCGCCTCGCGGTAGCAAGAAATGATTCGAGCAACGGGAGCAATGCACAGACCGCGCTGTCCAATCCGAGCGTCAGAAGCATGACGAAAAAGAGCACGGCCCACAGGGGACCTCCGGGCAGGGTGGCGATGGCCTCGGGGTAGACCTGGAACACGAGCCCGTGTCCCTCGGTGGCCACCTGCTGGATGGGCACTCCTTGCTTGGCCGCCATGTAGCCCAGGTACACGAAAATCACGAAGCCGCTGTAGAAGCTCGTGAAGCTGTTCACCGCCGTCGTCATGAGGCAGTCCCTGCGATTACGCGAACACTTGCAGCGGCCCGGACAACACAGAGACCATCGTGCGACGGCATCTGTATGATGAACAAGATCAACACATTTTGTCTCTCTGCAGAAATGACGCGATAGACGTTTTCCAACACATGCATGTTTCACCGCATTTGCTTGAATCTGCTGTAAGATTTTGCTTGAAAGAGGAGCTCAAAGGAAGCTGAATGAGTGTCGTGAGAGAAATTTCTTATGCTGGATTTGTTCGTAAAGCAGCCGTGCATGTTATAAATGAACCCGGGTGTCCAGTGCCAAGCCATGAGTTCTATAAAACTCACAACTTTGTGAATGAGACCCCTGTTCTTCTAAACTGAATTTCCCTCCAAAGTTACTGTGTGCTTAAAAAATATTGAATCTGGAATTTTGGTAGTTTTTGTCTGGTATTTATCATGGCTCACGTACTGAAGAGGCTATTAAGGCATGACTATAATGACTTTAACTTCGGTAAGTTTGTCTATTTATATGTGGTTTTGCGATATGAAACTTCCGGTCGGGAGTCAGTGCTCGTGTTGTGTTTTTTTTTCAGTATTTCTCTGCAAGTAAATAAGCAACTGTAAATACGTAAACAAGGAACTACAATTAAATAAAGGAAAGACGCGTACACCTAAGGGCTGCCTTTTTTTAGTTAAACACAATTAACAGACAGCCATACAAAGGAAAGCATAGAAGACCTTATTAGATGTAATTGTAGTGTAAATGTGAAGAAAGAAAAGTGGCTGAACATATCGATGAATTGCCGTGGGCAGGGATCGAACTTGCGACGTTTGAATGAAGCGTTCGATGCTCTGCCAGCTGTGCTACCATGGCGGCTACCCCACCTTACATTTTAGATCGTTCATATGTGCATTAAACGGGAAGGGGGGGGGGCGTTATTCACCACCAGTGGTAGCCATGAAGGCGGGTGTGGAACACTTTTTATCAGCCTGTTTGGCGTCACGTAGCAAGTGAACTTGTTACAAGCTGGCATCTGACCAATAATATCTCGTGTACCACCTCAAGGCATCAAGTCTGCTGCCAGCTCGTAATAATTTCACTTGCTACGTGATGCCAAACAGGCTGATGAAGAGTGTTTCACACCCACCGCCATGGCTATACTGCTGGCGCTGACCGACACCCCCACTTTTAATGCACACATAAACCTCATGAAGTGGATGGTGGGGTAGCCGCCATGGTAGCTCAGTTGGCAGAGCATCGAACGCGTTATTCGAAAGTCGCAGGTTTGATCCCTGCTACGGCACGTTATCTTTTAATCCACTTTCTTCACATTTACGTTACAATTACATCTAATAACGGCTCCTATGCTTTCCTTTGCATGACTGTCTGTTATATCTTAATAATAAAATTATATATGCAACTCACCCAACTAGTGGTATACGATTTGTCAATGTACAGGAAAGCGAAGTTCGCTTTCGGGTTAGCATAGTTTTAGGGGGGGGGGAGGGAATAGATAAGTCATGAAAAAAATTATAAAGCTGATACATTATTTGAGTATGCTGTTGGAGTGCCGAGGTGATGTTTGAGTGAAAAAAAAAAACAACGAAAGAGCGCGAACATTAATATAAACAAAAAAGAAATTGCTCCTATCAAAGCAAGGCGTTTATACGAACAATATTTAGGGACACCGACAGCGAACGTGAGGCCATAGAAGAATTTCATATCAAGGCGAAAGAAGAAAAAAAAGTATCATTGACGCAAAGGAGAAATGAATGCTTTTTTGGCAAATATGCCTTCAACATACGATGATTTCGGTGTGCGCTTTGCGCATGCGTAAGAAAATGAGATATATAAGCGCGTTTCAATACCTAAACTTATTGTCAAAGTACAACGCTAGACGCGTGTTTTTTTTTCATCCATGTTCCTTAACTTTGTGCTCATTTTATAACTAAATATGTGGTGGCAAGTTCTGTCGAAGTATGAATTTTTCGGTGTGCGTAACAGCGTTCAAAATGCTATAAAGCTTATAAAATGACCAGAACATACACTTGCCGGGAATATGTCTATCGGCAGTGTTACACACTGATACCGTACAATATACATTTTGATCTTCAGTGATTGCCATGAAAGAACAACATGCGTATCTGTGTTTAGAGTCATTACGGACCCCTCTCGACCAGACGATAATTATAAACACTTGGCAAGGTCGCTTCAGATTCACCCGCGTACAGTGAATAAATGGATATAACTGCATACTAACGAGCGTTGAGAGGGCGTTAAAAGCGCAGTTAGACTGCAACCACCACCTGCGAAGTGCCGATATGGTTAAGCGCAGGAGCTGCGCATTCGTGTATTCCAATATGCTTTGTTCGAGGAGAGGCATCACTTTACGAAGGACGCAACCACTGTTAGGGCGCAAATTTCATGCATGTAATGCGATAGGCTTACAAAAGCTATATTTGCGGCAGAGTCACTGCACCGTTTTCGCGGCTTTTATTTTATTTTTCCAACTCCTGCATGCGCTCACCAGGCTAGCCTTTTCTCATCGCATAACTTGGCTTTTGTGTCAACAGCGCATGATGCAACGGTCTCTGAATCGTGCTAGGCACTCTGGCACCGCGCTTTTCGACGCACAATTTGCCTTTGAAGTTTTTTTTTGCTCACGCAAAAAAATTTTGTCACGAAAGACCTTCTCGTATTGACTGAAATGGAGAGTTCCCCGGAATTATTCCGAGTCGTTTACCATTAAAGTTTACAGCGCACGCATGCCGCGTGTCGTTATTCACGTCGAACGGAGCTGCTTCGACAGCACATCGCCCACGTACGACACGCTAGGGGGGCAGGAAGCGTATAGTCAATGACGATTGTTTGCCTTTTTTGGCTGTTGATTTCCAGCCTGATGGTGGGCAGCCCCAGATGAGCATCGCGCAGTGATGGATTGAACAGCTGCTGTTTTATGGGGCAAAGGTAACTGAAAAATACAGTGAAACATCGTTAAAATGTATCAAGCTGTTTTTTTTTAAAACCTTTTAAGAAAGGATTATGTATGCCACATCTATATCTCGTGCAAAAAGCTGTTTGTACTCCACAAGCTTGTGGTTATTGTCTGCATCTTTCAACGAGCATGTTATGGTTGCCATCGCTCTTCCTTTAGTTTTTTTTTTTACTCTTGCCGCGTGTATATAGAGTAGCCAATCGGACAAGCATGTGACAGCGCTTTTTCTGTCTGTTTACTTTCTGTATGTCTCGTTGGAGTAAATCTACAATACGCCCCGAAAATTGAGCCAGAGTCTTCTCGTTTTATTCTGACCACCAAACGCTTTTTGTTTTTACAAGTGAGGAAGCGCCTGTTCAGAGGACAGCCAACGCGGCACGCCCGACAGAAAGCACAACAGTTAAACAAACAATGAAGTGAAGATGAAGACTGAGAGCACTACTGCTGTTCTTTTTTTCATTGAGCTACCCAGAAGTCACAAATTACTAAGTACGATGTTTTCGATGAAAGCATTTCACTCCGAAAGGTCGGTGTTCGGCGAAAAACGCGCTGGCCGTTCATCAGTGTAAGGGGAGCAGTCTTTTCCATCGGTGTCTTAGTGGTTCGAGCGGCGAGCTACATTTTGCCAACTAAGCTACGGCGATGGCTGTACCACGGTATATTTTTGTGCTCATTTGGGTGTACCTCTATACACGCATTCACAACCAAGCCGCGCGGGAGTGCCAGCCAATGTCATGAACGGCAACTGCTACGGTATTCCACGGCAACACGCAGTCACTGCAGCCATTTAGCTGTACCCGCATGTCTTGCAATCCTTCACCCATGCAGCAATGAACCTGATTTGTGGTTCTTCGGACGCCTCTGTGGGGTACACCGGCACAGAGAGACACGTAGCACCGCAGTGAGCGTCTTCGAAATTTCCCCAGAAAACGCTTGAGTAGACATGCTGTGGAACAAAAGGACATTGTCGACCTAATGAACGCCGCGCACCATGCTATGGGCGTTTTGCACTGGGAGTTCGGCTAATAAGGCGCCCCGCTGCGTCCGCCATTCAGCGGTCGCTGATACGGCGCGTGGCCACGGGGAGACGCTGCAGGAGAGCGCGAAGGAGATTTAGAGAAAAAAAAAAAGACAAGCGGGAGAAGTGCTAGAGTGGCGCAGATGCAAATTCACGCTGAGCACGTGACCGCATTCGAGAAGTGTGCGCGCGCGTCTGTACCTGTAGCAATTGTTGTTGAACGGGTTGTACGAGGCGTACGTGAGATGAACGCCAAATCCTACTCCCACGGAGTAGAAGACCTGCACCGCGGCATCCACCCACACCTGCGATAGAAAGACAAAAAGAAGAAAAAAAATTGTACACGTATACACGCGGCCGGATGCCGACTGCCACCGATCGTGCTTGATGTCGGCACGTTGAGAAACCACGCCGTGTTTATAAACACGCGCGTAAATTGTGCCTTCGTGGGGCAGAGAGCTCAAATCGGTGTATATTTATACGCGTGAAGGACACGCGGGTTTTTGAAAATAAGACGGTCGCGGGGAATACCTCGGAGAATTTTTTCCCCCAAAAAAACCAAATCCACTTCAAGCAAAAATGAGAAAAAATAGTATTGTTTGCTTTTGATAATGTCACGAAGTTTGCTCCAGAAATTTCTTTTTTGTCAGTGTGTGCATGCTATCAAATCACCTCAAACCGGCATTGGACCTCACATGTGGGTAACCTGCTACAGTCTTTAGCCAGGAGGAAATATTTGATCTGACACTTATGGATATATGCTATATTAGTAGTTGGCTCATAGCAATTAAGATATTTTATTTGGACACGCATTGGTTACACCTAAAAGTCTGAATGACAGCGAATGAAACAATTTCGTGACTGTGTGTGACAGAACGGACCACATGAATATTCTTTTCTCGGGACCGTCCTCTGTATCAATAGAAGACTGGTTGATAGTTCTTGATGTCGCCGATATTATGCGAGGCGAGCATGGGTTTCCTGTCAGTCCGCGTCACTTTACAGGCTATGTTTGTAAACAGCGGTAGGCACCATTAACATAGTGAGGCGCTTGTAGGGGCGTCACGGTGCGTAGGTCCCCACCGGTGGCGAACTTTGGGCTGGGTGGAACCTATACGCGCAGTGACGTTGCTACAAGCACCTCGCTATGTCGATGACGCCTACCACTGTGTACAAACATGGAATATGTTTACACATAAAAATGAAAACGCCACGCCACCTTTTGAAAGTGCTTTTCATCGTGACACTGTTCTTTCGTTTTTCAATCACAAGGGCACCGTGGAGATTTTTCTCCGTCGGCTTGCGCTTTCGCAGCGTTTATGCGGCGCCAATTCGTATGTTTGCTTTTTATTATTTTTCTCCGAACGGTCCTCAATCGGGTCGTCTTGTTGATATTGATTTTTTTTAGGCTTTTACATGCCACAGTTACGAAAAAGTTCGGTGCCACGCCGCAATAAAGGGCTTTGGATTATTTCAACCACTTGAGGTTCTTTGACAAGTGCTGGCTGATGTCGCATACTACACGAGCCTCTGGCACCTCGACTGCTTCGAAATGCGACAACTGCGGCCGAGCTCGAACCCTCGACTTTCTGGTAAGCGGCCAAGCGCCGTGATCACTCGCCCCCACAGCGTCTCCATCTCTCCATTTTCGCCTTCATCCAGTACTACACCTTGGCACAAAAGGTAAAGGGAGTATAAGATGATAGAATAGAGATGTTACAAGCAAAATACGACCCTCAATCCAGTTGGTCTAAGAATTGGCTAACCTCCCGCTTATTCCTTTCCTCCCCCTTGGCACAAAGGTAACTGGCCAAAAGTGAAATGGTCTTGAGACGGCTACGTTAGTTATTTTGGTCACGAGGTGTTCTCGGAGCACGTCCATTCAATAAAAGCGGCTCTGGCTCGCTTCAATACAGCAAGGTCCATATTAGGACTCAGTTTTGATTCTAAACTAGTTTGTGAGTGGGTGTTTTAATCGATAATTTTTATTAAAAGCGTCTCTAAAATGAAAGATACCGTGATTTTCCTTGCGTTTGCAGTAAAATTTAGTCCTGTTTTCAGTTCTGAATATGGCTCACACTGTTGAAAAAAAAAAAAAAAAAAGACGCCTCACATTTTTTTTTTCATTGGGTGAATGTTTTATCGTTGACCTCAGCTGGCATCGAGTTGTCGTCCCACCCTCCATCCTCGAGATACTGGTAAACGTGTGAGTATTTCTTGCAAACGCCATGAATATGTACACAAAGGAAAGGATAATCATACGTTAGAGCAGCGCAGTATCTCAGTTCCTTGCCCTACATTGACACCTTATCACTTGATTCGCCTGCTAACCTGCATTCGGCCCCGCCGCGGTGTTCTAGTGACTAATGTACTCGGCTGCTGAACCACAAAATGCGGGATCGAATCCTTGCTGCGGCGGCTGCATTTTCGATGGAGGCGAAAATGCTGTGGGCCAGTGTGCTCAAATTTGGGTGCACGTTAAAGAACCCCAGGTGGTCGAAATTTTCGGAGCCCTCCACTACGGCGTCTTTCATAAACTAATGGTGGTTTTGAGACGTCAAACCCCACATGTCAATCAATAAATTAACGTGCATTCGTACTGCATCATCGCGTTCATTATCCCTCCACTGAGGGCAGCTTCTGGTTTTAAAGTGACGCCAGGCCCGATCACCATCAGCTGACCAACGGCGTTTTTCTGCTCAACGGGTCATTATAAGATACGACTGCGAGTGCAACGAAAAGCGAGGACGACGAGAAGGCTAGCACCACGTCGGCCACACCTGCGTGTCCAGGAGCTTGTTGAAGTTTGGCTGCAAGTAGTATTGGACACCCTCGCCGGCACCGGGCAGCAGCACGCCGCGTAGCAGCAGCAGAGTCAGGATGAAGTAAGGGGCTGTGGCCGTCACCCACACCACCTGCGTCACACGCAGCATCTATAGCGCTCTCTGTAAACACAAGAGGGCGCGCATCTAGCCGTTCAACAACGACGCCAGACAGTTGCGCACGTGCGCAACAGCGAAAGCATTGACTCAAGTCACAGAGAGTTTTCTTAGAAACAACACGGTGCTCTGGCACAGTGATGCCAGCCAGTCACGGCACAAACAGCGATACCTCAACCAAGGTCCCCGCCTATCGCTAGTTACAAGTGAATATATGTGCGCGCTGCCCTTCGAAACCTTATTTGCCGTTTGTCGTGCGTGTTCGTAAGTCTCAAGGAATTCGGTGCATGATCGTGATGCGACTTAACCAGCGAATAGCTGCGGCCACGTGTCCATGGAAACATCCTCGACCCGGTGCGCTCATCCGAGACACGCACCACATCATAAACGTAATATCGTGACGCTCACCTTTCCGGAAGAGCTGACGCCCTTGAATAGTGCCAGGTAGAGGATGATGAAGACCAGGAGGACGCAGAGCAGCAGCTGCCACTTTGGACTGCCGAGGTCGTGCATGCCGGGACTTGTGTGCAGCTCGAGCACGGCGCGGCTGTCAAAGTAAAACCACCCGACGCGAAAGAGTGGCGTGAGCACTCACCGCTATACGTTGCAGATAACTATAGCCGGGGCAACAATTTGTGTTCACTCCTGGCTTTGCCATAGGCCACTGAAGGGATCATGTCCCCGGAATTAAGACTTTAGAGGGACTCCGTCTACCATCTGAATGTGCCGCTTTACGTTGAAAGCTCAGCTACACCACGGAAATGAACTTTTTCATGTTGTTCCGCATGTGTTGTTGGCTTGTGTGTTTGTCTGCTCTTTCGGAGCAATATTTTACTAGGTTTTTTCCCTTTCAAGCCTGCATTACGTATGCAAGCACAGAAACCTAGCCATGGTGCAGTTGCTATACCACAAGGTTCGTGCATTCACGTGTAAATGAGCGTCCTCTTCTCGGTTAGTCTAACTGTGCTGCAAAACCGAGGCTGAGCCCCGAGAGCTACAATATAAGAAAAAGACGGCCGGGTGGTGAACCGAAACGTTCTACGCAGCAACATCGTTTCCACCCCCACCATCCTCCTTTTCCTCCTCCTCCTCATCATCATCAGAAGCAGCCTGACTAAGTCTTAAATTTTTTTGTAAGGAAGAATTTACAAAAAAATCAATAGTTATGTTAATACCCTTTGGCTAGTGTTTAAACATATATATTCCTTTTTGTTAAGCTACCCGATTCTTGACCAATCCCCCCTGATGGGCGTGAGCCACAAGTTTAGGATCTACATCTGCTTCTACATCTACTGCAGGGCGTATGCCTCTCCCATGTTTCTTCTTTTAACCCGGACCTGTGCTTACTGTGGCCACGTTACCCGCAAACTTCTCCATCTTATCTGCCCACCTGACTTTCTGCCTTCTCCTCGCACATCTGCCTTCTCTTGGAATCCAATCTGTTAATGACCAGCAGTTATCTAGCCTTCTAACTGCATGATTGTTTGTTCCCCTGACCCACTCTGCTCCCTTATTCCGTAATGCTTCACCTATCAGGCTAACGTACAACGTGAAGTAATGTTACAAAACTTCTCCTTCAAAACCCCTCACCTTTTGCTTACCTTTAATGCTTGATACTTTCTCTTATGACCATTGTGCACACCGGACGTGCTTTGTGTACGTGTACTTTGGCACTTGAGTCATGTGATGAATATGTGCTAGTTTAACATTGTTGTTGCGATTCTCTATACTGCAATAACACATAAGTGAGCATCATGTTTCAGCTCTCTACTTTGCACACTGTGTAACGTGTAGTGACAGGTGCCACTTTAAGCTGCCCACATTTCACTTCAAACTTAACCAACGAAGAACGAAAGTTACAGCTGCGAGCTCAATCTAAGACCCGTGCAAAGCATTTGAAAGTGGCGCGTTCCCACTGCTGACCTGTGGTTCGGGGCGCGATGCCAACTTTCTTATATATGAGTGGTGTGCAGGGAAGGAGCTAAATAAGGAGGTAATAATAGCGGTGGCTGTGGGGGCCGCAGCCAAGAAAAGAGTCAGAAGTGAGGTAAAAACAAAGGCGAGTGAGGTGTCAAGTAGTGCTAGTTGGGCGCACAGTGCACGGTGTGATAGTAGCCATGGTAACCGCAGGGTACCGTGCGCGCCCGCCCGCGGTGCTTCCCTAAATCGCCCAAACCCCATCACCGCGGGTAGGGTCTGCGGAGGCCTGAAGCGTAAGAGCGAGATAAAAGAGTGCACGTGACACAGTAGCGCGAGAGCCTTTACGGCTGTCCTTTAACGGTGGCCGTCTATCGGTGCCGCACGTCTCTTTATTTGCTCAATGCAGCGCTCCTGACTCGCCACCAAAGCCGCTTTCTGGCCAACTGTGTGTGATGCCACGAATTCTTGCTCGATCTGTCCCTCGGTTGTCTTTGCCGTTTCTTTTCCTCCGTCCAGGTAAGGCATGCCGTGTGCGGACAGACGTTCTCGTGTGCATGCACTCGCCGCTTGAGGAGAGGAACAAGCGTGAGCCGACCGCTTGCTGCGTTTTTGCCGAAGTTCCTGCTTGCCAAAGAGAAGTGAGAGTTATTTGCCTCTGAAAGCGTTCCTGTCGCGATGCCATGTGCACTTACTGTATGGCAGCTCGTTTCTTGTTTATCGGCCGCCAGGCCGGTGCGCAATCGGGTGCCAGCATCGAGGGTTCGGCGGCCGTTTTTCTCTCGCGCGCGTTTAGTCATCTCTTTTGCTTCGCTTTTATATAGGGCTCAGCTTTTGCCCCGTCCCCGTAGTGGGACGCGGCGGACTCCGTTCGTAAAGGTGGGACACAGGGGCGTGGTCCTCTGCGGGTCGCGGCTGCCGGTGTCAGCTGTCGCCAAAAGCGGGTAACACAGGTCTAGTTTGAAGTAATTGTAGCGGGACATTTTCTTTGCTGTTTGCACCTCAGATAAATTATTTTCTCGACGCGACAATGGCAGGACGACAGGTTGCGAAAGTGGCAGAGAAGAAGTCAAGATCCCGATTTATGTATTTATTTCTTAGCTGATGTCCAAGGCTTCGACTTGGTGGTTCATTTCTCCCGTACAGGCGACCCATTAGGATGTGACGTGTGGAGAATCCTTAGGCAGAAACGCATGGTGTTGGGAAACAAGATGTCTGATTTCTTGGCTTGTATTTTAGGCCCGACAGCATTAACAAATTTTCGCTACAAGGTGTTTAAGGCCCAAGAGTAAAAAAGTAGAGTAAAGAGTAAAAGAGAAGTGTTATGAAAAAAAAAAAGAAACGCCCAACTGACGAATCAGTGCTTGAATTCATCTGCGCATTAAGCAAGGCGCATCAGTAAGCGAACACCTTAAACTGCAGTCAGTCAAGTGCGTTCATAACAATCTGCTCGCGACATTCGAAACACTTCATTATACCGGCCACTTTGTTGTAAATGTAAAACAACGCTTGAAATAGAGCCGTGACATACACAATACTTCATTATATAGCAAACACCCTTGTCGACGTGTTCTCTGTAAGAACGTTTGATGGTTAACAGCATTCCGAACATCTTGTTTGCAGCTTCTAAGCTGCCGAAGCCAACTACATGGTTGATAGTGATGGATTGCACATAAGCGGTATTCACATTACACTTTTTTCCTGGCATAGCTGAAAACTCCAAATTGTAATCAGGCTTTCTCGCATGTCTCTGACGGGGTGAACATGCGCTACATCGAATAATTTACGCGAGCATTTACGAGCAATTTACGAGAACGCCCAGTGTCAACTTTAACCATTTGTTTCAACGTGGAGCGTGTGGAACTATGCTAAAAAGCTCGTATCAAAACAAGACATTTCAGACATGGAAGTGATGTTTCCTGTTCAATGATTTTGATCATTCCACTAGCCGGTCTTATTTATTATAATGTATCCCACATCGCACTTGGTTGGGTATAAATACGAATAGTTTTGGCGCGAGAATTCACCCATGAGTATTGGACCAGGGGCCTAAATCACAAATCTTCGATTTCAGAAAAAAAGAAAAAAAACGCGGTTGATTTCTTTTTTTCTGGCCATAAAGAGACAAACATTAAAATAATGTTTGGTGATAATGTAAGCATGATGATGCATATAACGGCAGCAGCGATGGTCCGATTGCCGCACCATTGAAAGTGATGTCTTTTTACATTATCGTAATTTCGATCCTCGCATATCTTTACGAAAGGCTTGAAATACTATGCGAATGCGACCTTGGGGACCAAATTGGCGTAGTTCTGTCTCTTTCTCGCGATCTTTATTTTTGGCCTGCAGAAGCTTATTTTTATTGCTTGGAAGCCTTAAGTAACATATCCGGCATCACGACCCGTCCATGCCCTGTTCATGAGAGTGATGCGTTAGAACTGATTGGTGAATACATAAATGGAGATCATGGATCTCCATTTAGTGAATAGGCCTCATAGGCCTATTCATTAAAGTTGTTCTAATGATACATTTGTCCGCAAGAGCAGGTGCCAGACATGCGTGCTGATGTACAGTGGTCAACTTTCATGTCTAGAACGCCGGGTTGGTAACTGCACGAGTGACATCTGCAGTCGTAAATAAGTCGCATCTGAGCATGAGCGGCGCCAATGATGTGCCCGCCTTTTTTTCCCTTGTTTTATCGCCGCTTCTTTGGCTGTCAGGAGCGCTGTCAACTGCATTGTGCCGAGAGAGAAAGAGAAAGAGAGAGAGAAAGAAAGAAAAAAGCATGATTGCCCGGACTAAAGCATTTTATACAATGAAATTATTCTCAGTTCGTGGTATCATATAATACCGACAATTATTGTATTGATTTTTTTTTATTTTGCGCTAAACCACTCAGAGTACTTTCGACGGACAAATCGGTTGTTGCACCCGATATGATAAACAAAGATTGAAAATGCAAGGGAGTCTCTTTTTTGGCATCGAGCGTGCTCAGACGCTGTGTATTTTCGACTGCAGATGTCGCTCTAGCAGTTCTGAGCAAGACGCTTTGTCGTTATAGACATGAGAGTTCACCACTGTACCACATGCCATTATAGCGAATGCCAATATAACACAACACTTAGGGCCGGAAACGCGATTCTGTGGATTTAGTGCCTGACGCGCGCCGCGAGACCGCCATCGCCCTGGCATTTACATAGCACGACACCGTGCGTCCCAGTGCGAGCCCGGCGCACAGCGATGCGATTTGCGAGGCGAGCGCGCTCACTTGAAGAACTCCAGCGCTGGCGAAGTGCGGTTGTCAATGGCCGGCGCATCCGTTTCGTTGTCTGCCAGCGTGCCGCTGTAGCAGCTGGCCGTGTTCCACGGATTGCCACACTTGGACCACGGCAGGTCGGCCCGGAACGAGGAGAACATGAAGTACAACGCCCATCCGATGATGACGTTGTAGTAGAAGGACACGTACCACGACACCAGCACCGAACAGTAGCCCACGCCTGCGAGCGCAGTTTCGGATGTCCTTGGTGGCACGTCTAGTGACAAAATAACTTTGCTGTAAGTGAATTTAGTTTTAGGCCTGTCACCTGACGCCTATGAAACGAATCGGGTGCGATCAAATTGCACATTTAATGACGTATCGCTACAGGCGTAATGATATCTGAATATAGACGTGTCCGAGTACATATTCTCATAGAATCACAGCATGGTATATATGCATAGCTGAGAATTTTGACAGTCATGGTGTGGAAGAAAAAGTAAAGCAGTCTTTTAAAAATTGACAAATGCGCTCGGAATTTCTAAACACGCCTACGTGTTTGAGATTTGCCCTATATGACAGGTAATGAAGCGTTACTGCAAGTAGAACCGCTGGAAACGAATATACATGGTGAAAATAATTACCAACTTACCTTTGAAGAGGGGGCACACCTTCCAGACGCTTATGGGACCTTGTCTGTTATACTGGCCCAGAACGAGCTCCATGTAGAAAAGTGGCAGCGCTCCGAAAATCAGCATCAGCATATATGGTATCAGGAACACTCCTGACAATGTCAAGAAGAGAACAAAGAAGGAAGAGACAATGCGAATGTTACGCGCAAGAGCGAGAGTATTGTTTGATACGTGCCGTTTACAGCACGAGCTGAAGAAAGACTTAAAGAGTATTCTCAACTTCAGATGAAGTTCTTAGCGTGCGTGCTTGCAGAATTGGACTTGACCCGAATCCAGGGACGTCATGCGTGAAGCGGGTGAAAGTTGGCTCCGCCTATATCCCCATAAGAACGCGCGTCCCAGAGGTTAGCTTCACCCGAACACCTGTGTCTTTTCAGAGCAGAGTTTCGTCTCATTCAACGAACCGGAAAAAAGCATCCTCCCCTCTCCTTCTTTAGCCACTCACAAACTTCTTTTCACTCTTTACAAAGCCCGTAGAACACGCGAACACCCGTTCAGGCCGTAAAACTCGCTACCTTTAAAGCATCTGCATTGTTTCGATCACACCAGGCATGGCCGTAAGACAATTCGGCGGCAGCAGCAGCTCTTGAAAGTATATGTTTCTCGATCTGCCGCAACGGGGGTAACGATGCCTATAGATTTACATTATAATTGATAGGGCGTGTCGTGCTTCACTCGAAGGTGGGTGGTGGTGGTGGGGAGGGGGTTGCATTGTGTAGAGTGTCATTCATGTGAAAATCAGCCCGGGTCGCGAGGCCGCCGGTGTTAAGTGGCTGAAAATTTCCTACCGCTTCACAGCCTATGAAATAGTCAAGCTAGCTCAGCTTTTGTTTTACGGTTCTGTAAAAGCGCTCTGCTCGGCGCCGCATCAGTGAATCTGCGAAACGCGCTTCACTTCGTGGGCAACGTCGAATACGTGCATACAACTCGGCAAGCAAATTTGCATCGCACGCAAGCGTCGCGGCCTTTTGGAAGTGTTGCGGCCCCAAAATAACCGACGTGCTCTTCCAATTACGTCGAGCGCTGACAAATCAGCGGCGTGAAAGAGGCATTTCTGCTTCGGGTCTCGAGAGGCCGGATCGCTGAACGCGAATGAGCAATCGGCTCCGTTTGCAAGTTGTGACGAATTTCGCGATGGAGCTCACTTTTCATTTTTTAAAGTGAATTCAACTCTCGCAGGTCCGGCGACAAGGGTAGAACTCGTGATTGTACGACACTGGAGCTGTAGCACTGCGGTAACGAAAATCTACAACCTACAGAGTTTGTTATACAAAAAGAAAAGAAATCCTTCGGTGCATAGAAACTGTTTTGGAACCTCCGCTTGAGGTCTTTTAACGTGGTTTCAAAAGTAGTTTTTGCAACAAGCTGTAGAAATCAATAAACTCTATGCAGCAGCCGCTAAATTATTCCATATAAAACTATATTCTTTTTGAAATTACGATAATGTCGTCGCACTAATCAGATTATTGTCCATTCTATCATCTCATGTGATGTCCTTATCCTACTTTTGTCTAAGCACAGCAAGGTAATGCGCCTCGTTTTGTAAGATATGCTGCGTTTCATCCAGACGGGAACTCAGTAGAATTGAAATTTCATGCATGAATAAACAGCGCCACCGTATGATTTGGAGATCGCTTCAACGAGAATCGATCTCCAAATCACATGGGCTGTGTTTGATAGAGAGAGTTTTACGGCAATTAATACTCCTTTTTGTAACTTTTAGTTGGCGCTGTACCGAGAGCGATAGCGCAGTGATCAATTCGCTTAATGTGCAATTAAACTGGCCTGCATCACTGTAGGCGTACAGCGATACAGTTTTCTCTTTCTTTTTTTTTTTGCGACATCAAAACAGAAGAACTCGTATGTGAACAATGCAAGCACTACTCAAACGCATAATTTTGGTCCCGTGCCTTCAACTGTGTTTGTAACAGCTACTGAATCGACACCTAAAAATGTGTACTTCAATATAATCCATAATTTAATAACCAGCCAGCAGGGAAGCTGGGCGTCAAACTATGATATAATTACACTTGAGAGGCATTAGTACCCATTCGCGATTTTTTGAGCCCTGAACAAAATAGCATAGGCAGGTCGCCTCTGCCTTAACTTGGTTGTCCCTAGCTTCCTCCCAGGGAAATTAACCTCACCGTATAAAAAAAAAGAGGAAAAAATATGGGTATGCAGGGTTTAACTTCCCACCACTACAAGATCATGAGAGGCGCCGTAGTAGAGGGCTCCGCAAATTTAGACCACCTGGGGTTCTCTTTAATGTACACCCAAATATGACCACACGGGCCTACAGCATTTTCGCCCGCATAAAAAATTAAGACGCTGCAGCCAGCATTCGATCCCGCGACCTGCGGCTCAGCAGCCTTAGCCATTAGACCACCGCGGCGGGGTGCAAGAAAGAAACATGGTTTGATTACTGAATGAAACGTCCATGTTCGGTTTCATTTGGTAAATATCTTCAAGAAGAGACTTTAACCTCGGAGCCATTTGCGGAACCGATGATTTCTTTCACCAGGAGTACATAAGGTACTACTTGAAACTCCAGTGAAATCAAACGTGAGAGAACTAACCATGGGTCATGGGTGATGACACTATGGTGACTTGTCGAGCCATCCGCAGCCAATCTCGCTCATTTGCGGAAGCCTATTAAATGGAGGGTTTAAGGTTAAAGCAAAGAGTTCTCCATGAATTAGGCATTACCACGATTTCTGGCTGTACGAATTGGTGTGATCCGCGGCAGTAACGTTGGAGGGGTGCCACTCTTACGGCTTACGAAGCCGCCTAAATCACAGACACACACACACACACACACACACACACACACACACACACACACACACACACACACACACACACACACACACACACACACGCACACGCACACGCACACGCACACGCACACGCACACACACACGCACACACACACACACACGCACACGCACACGCACACGCACGCACACACACACACACACACAGAGAGAGAGAGAGAGAGAGAGAGAGAGAGAGAAAGAGCGCTGCTACATTTGCAAGTTTTCGTACAGCGTATACGGGTCGCCCATAATGGCCTTGCGCACGTAAGAACGCTAAGTTTAGCTTAGTGCGCGTGGAAGCATTTCTGCTCATGCTCACTATGCAAAACGAAGCGTTCTCATGTACGCAGCGCCGTTACAAATTCTAGGTACGCATTAACCAAAGCTTGCTAGTGTCTTCAGCGTTTGTTTCTTTTTCTTCCTGCTTCGGAGGTAAGTCAAGACGAGCGGATGCGCTCACCTCCGCCATTTCTGTAGCAGAGGTAGGGAAACCTCCACACGTTGGCCAGATCTACGGCGAAGCCAATGATGGAAAGCAGAAAGTCGGCTTTGTTCTTCCACGTGGGTCGCTCTCCGTGCGCCTTGGTGTCGAGCGGCTTGCTGGCCACAGGCACAGTCGACGCCACACCGTCGGCCAGGATCACAGCTGTCTGACCTTCGGTGGCGCTCAGGTGGTCCACATACTCTGCGTGTGTACGCGTGTATGCAAAGTTCGTGCAGCCCGACCACTCTCTCTCCACGACAGAAAAAAATACATAGATAGACGCACTGCTGCTTGTGAACATATTTGATCACTAACGGATCTCTAAGCGTCCGACCCTGCTGCATTCGGACATATGATAGAAAAAACTGCATGCCACAAGTGGCTGCTGTAAAGAGAAATATTTTCGATCTTGTCTTTCAGCTATTCCCGTCCGCTGTAAATTTTGTGGGAAATTCCGTTGGCATGGAGTTAATTTTCCAGCCTGTCACATTCAAGATGTCGTTTCATCGATGTGTTACTGCTAGCGGTATTTTGCGAACTGTAGCCTGATTCCGGAGAACATACTAAGATTTACTGGGTTGTTAAAAAAGCAAGAATACCCAACTGCCCAGTAATTAGACGAGAAGAGCGCGAAACTTCACATAGAGGCAATGTTTTAGAGTCAATTGTCTATGTCTACAGTTGATTGACCTTAATTTAGGCGATAAGGTCGTAGAGCGTGTCACAAAGTATAAATAAAAATAGAAAAATAAAAATGTGTCATGCAACGTGCTCTACGCCTTGTCACATAAAACATTTTATTCCTACAATTCTTTGTTTTAATAGTCTGCCACCTGACCTGCTGTTCAATGGCTGATCAATAAAAATTTGACGAAACAACCTCGGCTCCGTATTACGTGCCGAACACCTTGGAGGCAAAGCTTGTCCGTGTCTGCTGTCGTACCGCTGTCTCACGTAGTCACCGTCCATCATAAAAACGGGCGTGCGTCAATCACAATGGGCAAATCTCACTGCTCACTACCAGTCCACTAAAAATGAAGAGGGCCACAGTTGGCCCAACAAATAGTCGAGGATGTCAGTGGAGCAGAAACACCCTTCCTTAAATGCCGCAGGTAACTGAAGACGCGGCATGTAGAGGAGGAGAAAAAGAAGAACCCTAGGGTAAGCTGCCTTTCGACGCAGCTTTTCCACAACGTTGATGAAGTGGGAACACTCTTCCCTAGATGCCCCGTCTCAGACTTGGCGCCGCTATAGTGCCTCATCAGAGAAATTTCTCTCAAAACACTGCGTGGTTTGCGCCTTCCCACGTTTCGCGTTAGTGGAGCTGAAACACACCCCCACCCACACGCAGCTCTTTTCATTTCATTTCTTTCTTTCTTTCTTTCTTTCTTTCTTTCTTTCTTTCTTTCTTTCTTTCTTTCTTTCTTTCTTTCTTTCTTTCTTTCTTTCTTTCTTTCTTTCTTTCTTTCTTTCTTCTTTCTTTCTTTCTTTCTTCTTTTTTCTTTCTTTCTTTCTTTCTTTCTTTCTTTCTTTCTTTCTTTCTTTCTTTTGGAGTTCCAAGCTTAGTGATTTCGGTCCCGTGGGGTTAATGCAATCAGGTTCTTCAGAATGGCGGTATGGGTTCATTTTTGCAAAATTCTTTAGCCTTTTTTGTACATATGTTCCCGTTTCCCCATGCTGGTTGCCTTCTCTGTTGTCCTTCCCTGTATTAGGGCACACCACAATACTTATATGTGTGTTTTGGGGGGCGGAGGGAAAAGACTCAGTCTTGAATCCACGTTGGCATGCGGCTAGCTCACCCTGCCGAACTGGAGAAGTCGGGCCGAATTCACAACGCTTCCCGTCAGTAAGCGCGCTTTGTTATGGGCCTGTTACCATTGCCTACTACAATATCATGATTGGCTGAAATATTAGCTTCAAACTTTCTCAGCGTAAGATATTTTCGTGAATATGGGCCAAAAAAGTTATTCCACAAGAAGTTTCGAGCACGTAAGTTGCGGTACCATCATGGTCATGAAGACACTAATACCGAAGGCCACTGACAGACAGCACTGACGAAGTAAAGGCTGCATGCTGATACGAACCCGTGGGCCGCTCTCGTGCCCCACGTGTACGTGTGCAGATCAAGATACTCGGTAAACCTACCTGAGGACAAGGGTGTGCTTGTCGAGGAACAGTACCCGTCGTCCCGGATGGCCGAGTGACGCAGCTTGCGCACTTTGTTCTTCTCGAAGAACACTGGGCTGTCCTTCGACGGCGCTGGCGAACGCGGCCCGGGGCTGCTCCTGTGCTGGGCCGGCTGCTGCGACCGCGGACTGGCCTCGTCGGCGGCCGGCAGCAGAGGCTCGGCGGCCGGCGGCGACTGGCGGCCGCCACGCTGTTGTTGGCCGGCATGGCGGGTGCCTCCTGCTCAATGGGCACCGTCCGGCCGCACCACTGTCCGGGGACCCACCAAGCTGCGAAGCACACGCATAGAGGATAATAGCACGCTTCCAAAATCTCTCCTTGTGTGACTGCCGTATGCACGAAAACGATAAAGCGCCTTGTTTTTAGTCTCCTTACGCCATTCGTTCTTTATTCATTAAATGATACCCACTTCGCAAGAGACGGGCACCGACAATTACACACACCTCTACAACCCCATTCCATCTCCATCCTCCTGACCACCTCTCGTTTTGGGCGCGAAGTAGCGCATTAAACCCATTTCTAGTTTGGCTTGTTTATGGGACCTGTCCCGGTGGTCTAGTGATTATGATGCTCGACTGCTGACAGGAAAGTCACGGGATCGCATCTCGGCCTGCACGGCCTCATTTTGATGGAGACGGAACGCCACAGAGGCCGGTGTACTTAGGCGCACGTTAAAGAACTCCACGTGATAAATATTTCCGGAATTTTCACTACGGCTTACCTCGTAACCATGCGATGGTTTTGAAAATTCAAACATTAAGGGATAATATTATTTTGTTTTTTTTAATGAAAAGGAGAGGTGGAAAATTGACGCCTCACGTTGTCACAGTTGAGCGCTTCTCTGATTTTGAAGGTGCAATTTGTGAATGCTGTCTTCTCGACATGTGTTTGTACAGTGACGTGGCGCACCACATGTTCGGCGTCCCCATCACCTGCATGGTTTCAGCATTTGTTGTTTCCGATCTTACGAGGCTGTCTCTCAAGTTCCTCCCATTTCAGTAAACACAACCCTCGGCGAGTGTGATTTTTCTCTTTTTCACTCCTTGCCTTTCTATCCAATTTCTCTTTCCCCAGTACAGGGTAGCAAACTGGAGATTTTCTTCTGGTTAACCTCTCTGTCTTTCACCAAACCTTATTCTCTCTCTATCTCCCTCTCAGTGTGTGTGAAAAGTGAAAGTGAAGGTCAAGTAAGTGCTTTGGTCGACTGTGTCGAAGCGTCAAGATAAAATGTTACTTACGTAGGGTAGCACTAGCTAGCAAGTGAGAACAATATTTGTGAGATGAAGTTCGAGAACGTGAGGTCAAGTTAGCCAAAATTTCATTCCTGAGTAGCGGTTGCGTTTGCCGAATGGCTCTTGATTTGCAGTAACTGTGTGCGTTTCAGATATACCAAAGAGTAGAACTGAAACCTGATATAAATTTTCAGAGGCTTGTTTCGTGTTGTTGCCAACTGGAAAATACGTCTTCAAGAAATACTTTTGTAAATTAGAGGTTTCAAAAAATGGGGCTCAAAATAAAAATAAAAAATAAATAAGAAAACCTCCTGAAATTATTCCAAAAAATGAACAGCATGGCGGCATCATTGTTCCCATCGCAGTTTCGCTTATATTGAGAAAGTTGCTACTGTCACGTTCGAAACAGCTAGAAATTAGGACAAATATAGGATGGATGAATGGATGAACTTTATTTGGTCCTTCAAAACGTGTTTTAGCACGTTGCGGGCCCCTCCCACGTCGGAACAGAAATACCAAGTCTTTCTGCTGCGTCATGGGCTTGGCGGACTGCCCGTAGGTATTGTTCAAGTCTGGAGCTTGCAATAGCAGGGCGTGATGACTAGCCCGCAGCGTGACGCGGGGCGCCACCAGAGCATATGTTCCAAGGTAGCTATATTGTGGCAGTAGGAACATGTATTAGTTGGCTGTATTTTGGGATAAATTTTGTTCAATAGCGCGGGATAGGTTAGGCCTCGACCTGAAGAAGCCTGAGTGTCAGAGCTGGAGGTCTGCTTAGTTTTCTGTGCGGTGGAAAGTATTGTCTCCGCGCCACGTAAAAATGTTTTCTCAATTCATTTACGAGATGGGAGGGTCACGGTTCTCCAAGACATCAGCGCGGCGCCCCCCGATAGCTACGCGGTTGACTAGTCCTCGCGCAGCTATGTGGGCTGGCTCGTTGAGATTGAGCGGGGCTCCTTCAATGCGTCCCATATGAGCTGGAAACTAAACGAGTGTGTGTGGCTCGATTTCTTTTTCTCGAAGAATTCGCAAAGCTAGTCCCGATATTGTTTCCTTGGCAAATGCTCGGGCCGCTGATCTCGAATCGCTGGAATGAGAAAATATCCTCGTTAAAGTGTACAGTAATTTATTATTAAATGATATGCATACACAAAACACACAAACACACAGAGGAAGTTGGGAGGGAACAGGCTGACAACTGCCACCTGCATGGGCACATCTCTGGCCCGCTCATTCCGGTAGGGGGAAGCACAATGGAAAGATAGATAGGAGAAAAGAGCGTGTCTTGATACGATTCGATTGACACCAGCTCCACGTAGCTTTGGGTTCTACTGTGGAGATGTTACCAACGCATGCCAACATACTACCAAGCATAGCGAAGCATTAGAGAGTTTTAGTTTAGCGTGCGCAACCACCTAGCGTACGTAACGCGCGAGAGGGACCAAGAGTGCGCATGCGCTGAACCTAAAAGAGATGCGTGCGCTTGCGCGCGCAGGGGATGCGCACGCTAGATCTCGGCACTTACGTTTCGCCCGCTACAGCCGTTGCATACCTTACCGGCGGCTCTCGCAAAATTTCGAACAGCCGAAACCAAAACAGACGAGATGGCTGCGATCGAGAACACTGTGGTGGCTGTGGCAGCGAACGAAGTCCGTATGAAGTTCGGTGCATTTAGAACCTAAGTAAATAACCTGAAGCCAATAAATGAACAGGTGAAGTGGATTGGGATTGCTGATAAGCTGGAGCACAACAATGGACGACTAGACAACGTCATTTACGAAGAAGCAGGAACACGATGGTGACGTAAAGCACCGCGATGGATTAGTGAGTTGTGTATGGGGCTTCGTGTGTTGTGTGTGATCCCTTTGAACTGCGGCGGTTGCGACGTGTGTCTAGCAGGAATATGTCACAACGATCGCCTGCAAAATCATTCCAAGTGTTAGAAAGTAAAGGTTTCTTCAAGTCATGCATTTAGTGTGAATGCGGATGGACGTCGGTGCTCTACGAAACTCGGGTGATTTTTCTCGCATATGGAGCCCTCATCATTGCGAAAACAGCTATGACGACATGAAGAATGGCACCTGAAGACGCCCCCGAAGATGGGGGTATTTTTGTATTGAGGGTTGAGCAACCCCACTTTTTTTCTTTTGACTCGTGATCTTAGAAAATGTCTGTAGCAAGCATTAAATGTTAAATTGGCAGTAAGCGATCGTGATCGCCGTCTCTGTGCCTCCTGCGGCTAGTTCACCTAGCCTTCGCACCCCGAACCAGTACTCTTCCTCGGAAAAGATCGCCAAGTCTCATGCATTCCCTGACTTGTGTGTTGCTGCGTCGACGAATATTGGTTATTACGGCTTCTTGCTTCTCCAGGAGATGGCTGAAGCAACACTCAAAGACAGGCCTGTTGACGCTCAGGGGCAGTATACGTTTCAGATGCTGCGCACGGTAAACTAATGGTCTAGGTCGCAGCCTTAAACGAAGCGTACGCAGCGTGCAGCACGTTGCGGACGTACAGCCTTACGTACAATAAACTAAAATTCTCTATTATCTCGGCAACAGCGTCTCCCGCGGCTGCCAACAGTCAAACCAGCAAGATGGCGAGTTGGGCCAGTTGGGTGATTTTGAAAATTTTCGTTAAGTGCGCTGAAAAACGGGGGCCAGATAAAGTAGACAGGGCAGCGCTGTCCCGTCTACTTCATCCTGTCCAAGTAAAGTTTTCAAAATTCAGTAAAACTAGTGAAGACCATGCTGCGGAGCGTTCGAGTTAAACTTTCCTGCTGACCACTGTACATAACAGACTGTCCCCGCCTCCTTCATCATATATTCTTTCACGCACTAATACAAATTCAAGTCTTAGCTTATACAAGAGGGCTACAAGGGTTTTAAGTATATTCTAGCTGCGGCAGCTGCATTTTCAATGAAGGCGAAAATGTTTGAGGCCCATGTACTTGGATTTATGTGCACGTTAAAGAACCCCAGGGGATCAAAATTGCTGGAGCCCTCCACTACGGCGTCTTTCTTATCATATCGTGGTTTTGGGACTCTAAACGCCAGATAATATATAAAGGGTTGCTGTAACGTGCGCATTTACTGTGGCCAAACATTCTCGTTGGTGTTTGTGTATACATACATTGCGCGCCTCACTAAACATTTGTGGCGCTTTTTTCGGACATCTACAATTAGTCGAATCCTATAAAGGAGCGGCAGGTGTTAAAGGGTAAAATTGCCATTTGTAGCACAAAGTTATGAGGATATCCACCCAGACTGCTGAGACAGAAACGCTTCATAGTTGACCTTTCGTCCTGCTGAGAGGGCAACCTATATCAGAAGTGGAACGTGCCACAGCGAAACACAAAGACGTGCTGGTTCTATTTATTAACAAAGCACTACGCAAGAGCTACTGGTGATTCAATAATAAAAGCTATAAAACAATTAAGCATGCTGTTTACACCTGAAAACTGCACCTGTATAGCAATATTCGCGGACGTAATGCCTCATCGCATGTCACGCATAGCATCTTTCTGTCTTTTTTAAATATCGCTCGCTTAGTCCTCATGTATGTATCGCAACGCAGACAGCAATCGTCCCACACTCTAATGGCTGTGCACTAATCGCCTGGAAAGGGTATATACCGCGAAACATATATATGGCGGCTGTCATGACGAGCGGATACATAAATGTATAAGCATGCCTGAATGAATTCGCAAAATGGGCTTCCCGCTTGGTGGTGTAATAAATGAGCATTTTGCGTCATTTGCGTGTAGTGCCCGGCATAGCTTGTGCGCAAATTGGAAATTTGTTTATAAAGGCACAAAATGATCAAAGCAAAATTGAGCGTAGCAGGAAGAGAGAGAGCCGACAAAGCGCCCTTCAAGAGCCGAAAAAAACAACAACAACAAGCGATTGTTGGAATTAAGCTGCTGCGAATAAAAATCTTGCATTAGCAAAGGGGTCAATACATAGCGGCCATGTGTAAAGGCGAGGGTC